GATAAGAGTGGGCTGCCTGCTGGGGGCTCGAGACCAGGAGCTGCACCGGCCTCTTTCCCCTCCACCACGAAGGGGGCCTAGCCCCCCACCACCTCCGCCAGGAAGAGCCTAGTGCCGCCCCTGGCGCCAGACTGCCCTGCGCAGATCAGGGGGCATGTGCCCCGCCCATGTCTCCCCTGGGGGTGCATACAGCAGAGGAAATTGCCCCCCTGCTCCCCCTGGATGAGCTGCTTGCAGCTCCGCCCTGCGCCCCGCCCAGCCCCGGCTTGGCAGCACCTGCCCCTTCCCCAGCCCTAGCCCCACTCCCTCCCTCACAGCAGGGGCCTTGATCTGCGCCTCTCCACACCCCTTTCCTCCCCCCCCCCAACAGACTTACAAGCCAGACATTGCTCTCTAAGCTGCTGGGCTGCATATTGGCAATTGGATCGGCATCAGCTGATATGGCTCATTAATAATCAGGCATTGTTATCATCCCCAAAACAATCTTTATCAGTGCACCCCTAGTTCTTGCCACACTCCTGTCTGTCCAGTAGTTGAATATGGTCCTAATTCTTTATCTTTGCTGCAAGAAATGGCAAAGATTTACATAGGGATTCAAACTCAGAGGCTTTAATGAGAGATAATATAATTTGCTGTCACGTATGTCAGGGGAGCAGAAAACCTGGGTGCAGCAGAAGAAACTAAACTGAAGGTACAAGCAGCCCTTCATCCCTCAACCCTGCTACTAGCATGACTTGCAGCTTCTCAATCCTCACTGTGCAAATGAAACCTTTGCACACTCATTTGGAAGTGTGTAACCTGATTGTCGCCCAGACACATCTCCTGTAATGAATGTATTCATATACAATTAACACGCTGTTTTGAAATTATGGAGACATTTTGTGATTTTCTGACATTTCATCCTCTACTCCAATTCTTTCAGAGGTGAATTTACTGGAAACAATAGGAAGTAATACAATTGCATGCCAAGCCCAACCTCATGTACCATGCTGTGAGTTACAGCAAGGCCTTTTCTGACTGCTATATGGCTGTAAAAGTTGAATTAAGAGAGTACTTACAAATTTCCCATTTTATGGCCCTGAGTGACAAGTTCATCCATCTTATTTACAGCATTTGAGTTAACTTCTAGTTTACAATTCAATTTCTCTTTAAACACTAAACATGAAAAACTGATCTCAGGCCCAAGAGCAATAGATATGCTAATGAAAAAAAAATCTAAAAATCTCAGGAGGGGTTTCCAACACTTTGTTACCAAGACCAATTGCAACCCTTACCAATATTGTGCGGTGAAGCACGGAAATAAACTGGATTTGGACAGCTATTATGCCCATTTAGCATGGTTAAACTTATCTTTTAAAAAGAGATTGTATTAACGGAAACATATTTTAATAGGGCGAGTGAAATGCGGTTATTTTTAAAAAGAACATTCACTGCCTTTCTTCCAGTTGCTTTAAGGCTTGTCACTGGTCCAAGGTAGGGACTATCCAAGGCATTTAAAGCTTTGGAGTCGCATCTTCAAGATTCTTCAATGGAGCCTGATGCACATATCCAGCTGTCTTCCTGTCAGTGTCAGCACATCTGAGCCACCAATATCACATAATTTACTCATAAATGGGTCTTAGCAGAATGGAGTTGCAAAGGTTTGGGGCTTTTCAACAGTATGTTACAGGTTTGCATCCAAGGCAGGCTGGGAGGAGGTGGGGAAGCAGTCTAATTCTCACCCATGAAAGCCAGCACAGCTGGCAGTCTTATCAGAGCTTTAAGTCTGAAAGGAGACAAAAATCCCATTTTATATCCAGGGGAGAGTCCCTACATTCAGGGATCAGGTAACAGCGTATGTTGAACCAAATACTTTTCACTTCATACATGCTGTACGTAGCGGTGCACCAATAAAGATTTTTTTTGGCTCATGCCAACGGTCAATTATTAACTAGCCTTAACAGCCAATACCGATCTGATTGCCGATATGCAGCCCAGCAGCTTGGAGAGTAGCTTCTGGCTACTAAGTCTGTGGGGATGGGCCTGGGGGGCAGATCAAGGCCACCATGGTGAGGGAGGGAATGGGGCAGGGGCTCCCCAGCTGGGGCAGGGCATGAGATGAAGTCACAGGCAGCTCATCCGGAGGATGCAGGGGCAGGTGGGGGTAGCTCCCAACAGTGCCTGAACACCTGGGGGAGGCATGGGGGGCATATGGCCCCCTGGATTTGTGTATGGGGTGATGGCGCGCTGCCTGTTGTGGTCTCAGGGCCAGGGGTGGCACTGGGAGGGGCAGGCTACAATGTATTTGGGGGAGGCTGTAGGCCCACCCCGTAGCCCCAAGCTCAGCTCTGGCTCAGCCCAACTGTTGGGAAGAGGCTGGCACAACATGTGGCCAAGCAGTGGGTAGCACGCCCTTGCCCTATGGACAAATCCAGGGGGCACATGCCCCCCATATCTCCCTTGGGGGTGTGCGCATGGCAGAGAGCCACCCCTCCCAACAAGCTGCCCACAGTTCTGTTCTGCACCCTGACTCCCTCCCCAGGCGGGTGGTGCCTGCCCCCCCCCAGCCCCACTCCGTCCCTCACGGTGCAGTGAGGGCCTTGATCTGCCCTCATGCCCCTTCCCCCTACAGACTTTTCAGCTAGACACTGTTCTCCAAGCTGCCAGGGTGCACTCTTGGCCATGTGCATGCTGCAGCTGTGTGCATGCACGCAGCATTTATCAGTGACATTTATCGGCTACACCAGCCAAAAAAAGCTGATTGCCAGTAATGTTAATTTTCCTTTTATTGGTGCCGAATCAATATTGACTGACACCTCTAGTTGTGTGGGTAAACTTTCCAGCTGCATAATGCAGCATCTTGTGATAGTACTGAACTGCTAGAAATGGAGAGTCCTAGGGAACTAACCAAGGTACCCCTAAGCCATAGTGAATTTCCACTGACAAAAGCAGCCAGCAATACTATGCATTTCAGCACAGGGGACACAGGCAGGCTCAGATGCTGAAGCACTGCAATCCTGTAGGTTTCCAAGGGGGAAAGCAATGCAGGGAAGTGAAAAATGCTGCTCTGAGTGAGGCTGAGCGACCTCTATGCCCACTACTAGTTGGATAGATCATAATTGTGTTAGCAGGAAATACAGAGTCACCAAGCACACAATGCTAGTAGCTGAAGAAAATGCTTCACCTGACTTGCAGATCCATTTTATACACCCCAGGGAATAATGCACAGAAAAATTTTAAATTATGCAAATTTAGTACTCCCCCCCCCACATTGATGCACAGCCCCCGTCACTGGCAGCTCAGCAGCAGCAGATGACAGGCCCTTATGGTGCTCATGACCGTGAAATGCAGAGCCCCCAGCAGCTCTCAGCTCTGGCTGGGTCAGGGGGCTACACGTGGCAGCACAGAGCAGGCCAAATCCAGCCTACTGACACACATTTAGACCAGACTGGGCTGGCTCCATCAGCACATGGGGCTTGCAGCACTGCAGGCAAGAGCCACACACCACTGGGCCAGGCAGGCTCTGTGGCACCACCTGGGGATTCCAGTACTCCAGCGGGAAGCCACACATGGACGCATGGAGCTGGATGTCATCAAGCCAGGCCGGTTCCATGCCTCCCCATGCAGCTTTCTGCTGGAGTGCCGGAAACCACATGTAGAGGCATGGAGCTGGCCAGCCCAACCCAATGGCACACAGCCCACACCCATGTACAAAGCCTATGCTCAGCTCCCCCTCCTGCAGGTAGGAGCTCCCCCACTCACAAGCTGTCCAGTCACGCACCATCACATTCAGTACCTCCACATGGGGCTCCTAGCTGGGAGTCCTGCACCAGGGTTAAATTATGCAGAACTATGCAATTATGCATCGGCATGCCTTTTATGTGCAAAACTGCATAGGCGCATAATTCCCCAGGGTGCAATTTTAATAGGTCTCCAGCAAGTTTTCATAACCATAACCGTAGGGAATCCACCGGCATCTTGTAGTACCTGCCACTACCAGGATTATTTTCCCTTTTTTGTAAAAGTTTAAATTACTTGAATAACCTTAAGTCCTGTTTTTACATATGACTGATTTAAATAAAAAATCTGATTTATTTTTTTTACTCGTCGATTTTTATCATCCCTGATCAAGTTCACAGCAATGGGAACAGGGGTGCTAAATGGCAGAAGTAGCATCTTTAGCACCGTGACATTCAGCAAGTATGCAACAGGAGTTTCACATACATGCTGAAGAGAAGAAAAACAGTGGGTTTAGCCAAAGTAATTCAAGGGTGTAACAAGAAACATCAAGCATTAATTTATCCCAACACTGCTGTTAGTATCTTTCAGCTTCAGTGCAGACTGCACCCAATCATGCCAATGCTGAAAATTATATTCAAGTGAGTGACACTGGGTTTGTAAAACTAAAGCCCAAATCTAACCTCTCTAGTTGTAATACCACCCACAGAGGATAACGGAGATACTAGCTGCTTTACAGTCATTAGTGAATGCACTTAACACATCAGTTGTAGTCAGCCTGAAGCCTAATTTACCTTCCTTCTTACTTCCACCCAATTTGACTGGGGAAGACAGGAGGCTTCATCTTATGATTACAACTGCATGATGCCAAGAGAATTTGAGGAAGAGCTGATGATGACAAACAGTTATATCCTGGGGCAGGGAATCAGAACTCATGGGTTCCATTCCAGCTCTGCTGTTTCTTTGCAGGTGACCACAAGTAAGCCACTCTCTTTCACTGTGCTATAGGTTTCGTCTGCAGAATAATTTGCCTGCAGAATATTTACCTCACAGATGTTTTCAGGTTCCATTATATCAGTGGTTCTCAACCTTTTTAGACTCAAGGCACCCCTTGGAAAATGCCAGCTCTTACATTTTCTCTCAGTTTCTGACAACAGAAAAATAGAGCCATTCTTCTATTGGAAAGACCTCAGGAAGACCACAAGGCAGAGTATTTTTAGTGCTATAGATTCCTACTTGAAATCTCTGAACTTAGCATGTGAATCATGTTTGCACACCTGATACTGCTAAAGCTGGACAGCATCCCAGTATTCCTGAAAGGATGCAAAGGCACCCTGCTTGAGAATCGCTGCATTACACTCAAGGATCACAAATTGCTTTATGAGGGTAATGGCTATGTATTAGTATCGTTATTATTCATGCTAAAGCAAACAGACCTCAAGAGAACACACACAACTCTCTCACATGGTTACCAAAACTGTTGGGACCAGAATAATTTCAATTTCCTCTTTTGCTCCAAGCCAATCTCTGGGGAAACAAATTATTTCACAAGCCCAATGCAGCCAGCCCACAGAGATAAATAAATATTTAGGAGGTTTCTGTGTCTTTCAAATAAAGGCCCACAACATGATGTAGTCATGCCATTTTGGGCTCTCCTCAGACTTTGGAGGCGACTTAGAAACCATGCTAACTGCCTTGCTCATTGAACTGCAGAACCAGAGAGGCGAGAGGTACTTTCCTTATGTGGCTTTGAGCCCAAACCACCTGCTTTGGTTTTCAAATGAACTATTTGCTCTGGGCTTCTTGTGTTCCAGGGCTTTATTAGATGTGACAGAAGGATTTGATTTACTTGGATAACTTTAATAATGGAAATCAGATTTAGTTCTGCTCACGGAAAGAAGAGCATAAGAAGAGTGCTGTTTCAGCACGTCATTAGAGGGAGGGCTAGGAAGATGCTAACAAACCTGCTGACAGTGCGGGTACCCGCCAGGACAAACAGAGGAATGGTCTCCAGCTTCACAGCACAAAGGAGGAAAGACCACGCTGTCTGTCCAGCCGGGGCACGAGGGCAGCATCGTGCGGTGCAGCTCGTGGCTTGAGTCTGCCACCGAACAGCACAGGCCACGAGCCCCACCCCCTCGCCTCTGGCGACCCTGCAAGCGCCTCATTCAGGGAAGCCCCGGCCGGGGAAAGACCGAGCCAGCGGGGCCTCGCCAGGAGCCAGCGGTTTATTTGGGCTGGACAGAGGCTGCTTGCGCTGAGGAGCGGGATGGACGGGGACTGGGACGGGGAGCCCCTCGCCTCGGCCGTGGGCACCCGCGCTGCAGCGGCCCCAGATCCTACCCCAGCCTCTGCGAAACAGGGCTCGTCCCGGCCCCCGCGATACCTGCCCGTGCAGGAACACGGCCTTGTCCCGCGCCGACTCCCGCAACAGCCTGCGCACGCGGAGCTCGGCCAGCGGGAAGGCGCCGCCGCCCGCATCCGCATCCGCATCCGCATCCCCGACCCCAGCCCCATCCCCGACCCCAGCCTCCTCCTTCTCCTCTCGCCGCCTCTTCCTCTCCGGGCTGGCGGCCGCCATGATACTGCGGGCAGTGCGCGTGCGCGGCGGCCGCGCCAACGAGCGAAGCACGCAGAAGGGACACGGCCTTGGCCGGACAGCGCCACCCCCGGGCCGGAGCCACACTGCAGCGCCCGCAGATCTGGGACCCCCGGCGTCACTCCTGCTGCGAAAGGCAGGGCCTGGGGCCGCCTCGGATTGGTGGCCCTACCCCATAGCCCCGCCTCCCGGGGTAGAGCAGCCAATCAGCTGCTACAGAAGGTTCCTCCCCGCTCTGCAGGCTCCTCCGGCGCCACCTGCGAAGGACTAGGGCTCTTGTGGCCTTGTGCAGTGATTTATGCATTTGGTGGCTCTGCCTCCCTCCCCACTTCCTCTGGTCACAGGGACGTGATTTTCAACAAAGCCAGACTCCAGTTTTTGTAATGGTTGAGATCAAAGAAACCATATTTCTCTTTCCTCCCGTTAAATCCCATTAGGGTTGCAAGAAATGTATCTCCATCTCCAGCCTCCACCCAAACACGCATTGAGACTGTGACTTGGACCCAATGTAAAAGCAGCTTTTGAGGGCCAGGTCCGGGAGATTCATGACTCTCCCATCCCCTCTCTAGGTAGCTGTATTCCAGCAAGACTTGTGTCTCTTCTCGCCTCCGGATACTTCCATCCAGTTGGGATCCAGGCTCACTGGGGAGATACCTACCTGAACCAGTACATCTAACAGCAGTGCTGACTGCAGTGTAATTAAAGGGAGAGGGCAGCAATGTTGGTGCCCCCAACATTTAGCCCAACTACCTAATGGTTAACATGCTTGCCCAGCTGAAGCTGCACCAGTAGATGGCAAGGAACACGAGCCACAGGGCAAGAAAGAAAAAGCAACAGAGAATCTGACTGGCCCTTGCTTGAGAGGGAGCCCAGCCCCCAGTGCTGTTTCTGTATGTTGCACTGAATAATCCGTTGGATAAAATGAAGTTTGAGCCCACGTCTACTCTAGGAAAACAGTCAAGTTTAGGATTGGATTCACTAGCACGTATTAGCTAAGCAAGCCTATACTACAAGAATCAACCACTGTTGCTAGACAGGGTGAAGCTGGAGATTTGTTCAATCTAAAATTCTCCTTGAAGAAGGATTCTCTTCTGGTCTGACCCAAGATGCTGTGAGGGAAAGGGGAGAGAGAAACCAAAGAAAACAAGCCTAAAATATTGCTCTCTCTCACCATGTCTATCAATTCACCCTGAGCTATTAGCTTGGTCCCTCTCACCAACATGAGATGCTCCTTCTTTTTTTAATGGTGGAAGAAGAGATATGAAAACAATACATTTCTTCTTTTTATGTAAACATGTCTAAAATTGCATTTGAAAAAAATGCATTGCAAAATAGCCCCCAAGTCCTCTTCCCCCAAGTATCACTGATCTAATAAGAGAACTTCATGTCAGTTGATATACTCCTTGGGGCCTGGAGAATGTTCAGGTGGGACAGATTTGTGTTGTAACATCTCAGAACTGGGTTGTGGAAGGTCATTGAGCAGTAAGTGGTACATTGGCCTCACAAATGAGCTAACTGGGGTTCAAGCCTCTGTTGTCACAGACTTCCTGCATGACCTTTACCAGCTCACCTACATCCAATAAAGGACTGTGGCATCTAAAGCAAGTTGCAGGCTGAATTTTGGCACCCAAGCTCAAAACTACAATTTTAAAAGCTACTGTTCAGCTACTGCCTAGCCCTGCAAGTGCCTGAATTCATACACCCCTCCCTTTTCAACAATACAGCCCTCTGGAGGCTTAGAAGTCTGCTTCTGCATAGGCCCAAAACAGTCTCACTCTAAGCAGCATAGTGCCCATCTCATGGCCACGCTTGTTTAAGATGCAAAAATTAGACCTTCCTCCACGTAACTCTTGAAGGACCTCATCTGCTGGTGTACTCTGTGCATGTCTAATGATGACAACATTGGTTTCCCTACAAGATGTGCTAGTAGCTGCTTTCTTTTAAAGTGCAGTATGTGGGGGTGCCCACCTGTTATGTAATAACCTAGTTGCTAAAGCACTCACCTGGGAAGAAAGAGGTAGTTAGCTGTGTTAGTCTGAAGCTAGACAGAAGGCAGGGCAGGGCAGGGCAGAACCTCGAAGGTTAACTGTTTCAGAGAAGCATAAGCTTTCATAGGTGACAGCTTACTTCATCCAACACTATCTGATGAAGTAGGCGGTCACCTATGACATCTCATGCCTCTTCGAACTAGTTAAATCTCTAAGGTGCTACCCTGCCCTGCCTTCTCCCTCTCCCAGGAAAGTTTATTTTCCCTCTTTGGCCTAAAGGGATTCAAACCCCCATGTCTCCCAGGAGCGCCCCAACTACCAGACTACGAGTCTGGGTGGGACATGCTCCACCAGTCCTCTTGGAAAAAAGGCCACTATGCAAAAAGGAATTCAGTTTCATCATTTTAGTGGGTGGCTGGGCAGCACTGAGCACACAGATATTGTCATCAACCCTACAGCAAGTAGGTTTTAGTTACTCACCTAGGAAAACTATTGTCCTCTTCAGGGACCACCAACTAAGGCTTGTCTAGAGCAGGATAAAAGGTAAAATATGCATTATAAAATGCTTTCACAGACACTTTTCATCTGCCTCTAGAAAAGCCAATAACTGTTCTTCAGGGTGTAGGGCATCCCTTTTTAAAAATCAGCAGTGCCACATGGTTGTAGCACTGGTCAGTGCTTCAGTTGGTGTAATTTCCTACCTGCATATCAACAGGGGGATGCTGAGTAACCATGGCACAGCTACCTGGAGAGCAGGGAGGAAAAAAATCTAGACAAAACAGTCACAGCATGATGCTGCAATGAGCTAAACATGTCAAACCAGCATGGCACTCAAGGGTGATAAGGTGATGTGGACATTGCTATGTGGGGTCAAGATGTGCCACTGCCATCTGGGCTCCAGAACCCTAAGCCATACATCACTAACTGCCTTCCTCAAAGGACTGAGAGTTTGCCAACACTGTGGCTTCAGGAGCAGATCAATTCCATGTGCAGTATGACAGAACCATGTGCAAGCCCCAAGTCTTTAGCACCAGAAACTGATGCCCAGTTGCCAGTATTGTCAGACACTGCTACCCTCAGCAGCCTCGAAACAGCCTGATATTAGTGCGCACAGGAGAGAGCTGCCTGATGCTTCCACTCAAAAGTCCTCATGGGAGTTAGTTCCCATTTGCGATTCTGTATGTGCTTTGCAGAGAATGGAGCCGGACCTTAGCTCCAGCCAGCTCCAGAGACTCTGAAAACACCCATGTGGATTCCTGGTCCATTCCCAAGGATGTGCTTCCTTATGGTGTTCCCTTTCTTTTGCAGGACTCCAGTCACTCGGTTGTGCTTGGGGTGCTCTGACAGAGCTCCTGTAGGTCTGGGGGACATAGGACAGAAACCAAGTTCACTAAGGGACTGATGCTGCAGTGTTGTGAGAACTGCTTTTGTTCCTCTCCTGCTGGAGAGAGACTTAATGTTGTGCCTCATTAACAGGATATATATATGCTGAACCCTTTCTGTTTAGATCTACCCCTGATGTTTCACAGGGACACAAGATTCAAGTCCCATCCCACACTGTTCTACGTTGTCTATGTTGTCAGTTAAATAACTGCTGTGAAAATTATCCCTGCATCCAGGAAGCCTCTTACTAGTACAAGGCAAAAGAGAAATGCGTATTTGGGATCTCATGAAAGTCAACGTCATGATGACTGTGAGGTACTTTGGTATAACAGTTTGGTATAACAAGTTTCCTGTATGAATACAGGAACACTCCAGGTAGCTTAGCTTAGTGTCTGCAGAGCAAAGAGCAAACAAGCTGCAAGCCCCTGTTAAGCTGACTGCCCCCTACAATTTACTTACAGCGCAAGACTGTGTCTTTAATCTGCCTGAAGCCATTTTCCTTGAACGTCACACGGATGTAATAGAGGCATCTCAGCTCCCGGGGGTAGTCCTTCTGGTCGATGTCCTTCAGCACTGGAATGGTGCGCCCATTGGTCATGGGAGCCTCTGCTAATGCTTGGTGCATTTGGTACCTGCACCAGGGATCCTGGAGGAAGCCAGGGGTTATTACCATGACCCAGCAGTGGCTGTTCTGGACAGCTTCACAGAGCTCAGTTACAATGGCGCTGCCTGGCGTGGCATCCCGCAACTGCAGGAAGCAACGGAAGGTCTCAGGCTGACTCTCCAGGTAGGAGACCATCTCCTCAACAAATTCAAAATCCCCTTCATTGTGACAAATGCACACATCATAGCTTTTGGTCCAGCGGGCACTTCCTGAGCTGCTGATGTTCACCTGGGAGGCAGAGGACAGTAGTGACCTTGGGTGGAGCACTGAACTGCTGGCAGAAGAACTGGAGCTTCTCACCGGGGAGGAGGTGGGGGAGGAAGGTGAGTGTTTGGGAGCAGCAGTTGAGCTGCTTCCTGAGTTGGAGTGTTGCTTTGGTTTCTGCAGAACCCGTTTCAACCAGCCTGGGGAATTTAAGAGACTAAGATAAGATGCATCGAAGGCTGAAATACCTCCTGAACCAGTCTACAGCCCCTCTCCACAAGCCACTTCTCCTTGGATGTACTTAATTTCCTAATTCACCAGCACGGGGCCATTCACAGCCAAGTGACAGGACAAGGGTTAGCCTTGGCCCCAGAATCTGAGCAGGCCGGTCTGAAACTAACTCTGATGGTGCCACATAGTCAGCCCTTCTTTTCAGCAGACAGGTCTAGTACAGCCTACAAGAATGGTCCACACCAGACTTGGGGAAAGGTGCAAGAACCCCAGAAAAGCAGACAGGGATAATCTGCTCCTGCCTGGGTCTCATCTTGGTCTCTAACAGGGACTGCCCTAAGCCACTGGTTCTCAATCTTTAGCAGTCCTCTGTAACTTCTCAATTTGGTGGCACCCCAACTGAGAACCACTGCTGTACTGTCTCAGTGTACCAGGCAGTAAACTCCTTATTCAGTAAGGAATTCAATGGACTCTTAACATTTTCCTTTCTGCATAACAGTGCAAGATGGCAGCAGTGCAGTTGTTGACTTCTGTCCACACTCACATTAAAAAAAAACAAATACAACCAAGGAAGTCTGACTTAGTTGCAATGGAATTACTCCTGATTTACACCACATTAACCAAGGAATGAAGTCTAGACAGCAAAATAAAGTGCTCTTCTCTTTTTTCTCTTTGTGACAGATTCCCATTAGTTATGAATGGGATTGTTGCAAATGGAATACAGTAAAGGTAAAATACTGAATTAAATTAATTCAAATTGACCTGATTTGTCCTAGCTTTATTTAACACTGGATTTAAAAGAAGTAAGAGGTTGTGAACTTTTTAAAAAGCCACCCACATTTGAGTGCGAGTCAGGCTTGCCATACTAAACACTGATAAATTGTTTTTTACATCACCATAGAAATACCATGTGCTTTGTCAGCCCTGCTGTCTTTGGGGTAGTAGTTCTGAAGCAGGGTTCCTGCAGAAGTGAGGAGAAGGGTTCCTCTCCCCATGCTCCCACTGTAGGAGGTGGTATAACTAGCCTACCTCAGTTCCTGCATATTGAAACATCTTGCTCAGTTTGAGAGTGATGTCAGGTTCCTTTCCTAAGTTGCTATAGTTAACGTAAATTCAAGATTCTTAAATCATGGCAGGGGCCAGCAGTTTAAACTTATAGGGAATAATCAGAAGTCCACTTAACCCTGCCTCTCATCTGACATAAAGTATCTGGCATATCTGGACATGTTATCCCATTTCTATAAAAAAAGGAAAATGGGTGAAAGCTTGGCAGGTTACCAGCAGAGCAGGGACTAACACTCAGTGTCCTGGTCTCAGCCCCTCATTCACCAAACTCATACTACCTTAGAAACATCTTATTTACTCACCAGCCATCTTAGGGAGGAAAACTCAGATGAGATGCATCCACATTAATCTTGGCCTACAAGCAAGAGTGGGAGAGAAAAAGATCTGTTAGAAGCTGTTATTTCCTCTAGCAAAGGAAGTTACATTCAGGCTTTTCCTTGCTTTACTGCTGCTCACTTCCCCACATCCTCATCCAGGCAAGATGTGATCCCAATACTGTACAAACTTGCTCCATTTGCAAGTACATCATGAGAGAGGCATTTTAGCTGCTCGCATTGTCTGGTCTGAGGACAACAGGGCACTTCAGTCTCCAGGATCAAATGAGCGCTGGACTCTATTAAAAGCCATGCTTCCTGCAGTGCATGTTACATCCTGGTGTGCCTCTGTTCACATCACTGGGAGCCTTATTTATGAATCTGCACCAGCCCAGGAACAAGTTGGATTCTCTTTGTAATGTCTGCTTCCAGCTGCTCTGGGCCAGGGAAAATAAAAAGTAGCAAGGATTCTCTCTTTGCTGTGCTTAATATCCCACCCTCCTGGCACCCAAACATCATGGGATAGGAAAGTTTGATTTGAAAGCAAGATAAATAAACTGCAGAGGCACATGGCCCAAGACAATGACTGGAGATTGGGAGAAAGAGAAACTGGGATCAGCTGGGCAAGGAAACTGGGACTTGGACTTGATGCAGAGCTGGGGAGACTGGAACTAGCTGAAGGAGGAGATAGGGATTAGGAATTTGGGAGAGTGAAGGCATGAGTAGGGCTGGGTGCAGGGCAAACCTGGCACTAGCTTGGTGAAGACTGTAATGAAGAGCTTTGAGGAACAGAGAGTGAAACAGGACAGACACGGAGAAGTCCTAGGGCAAGGAGCTGGAGCTGAGTGAAGAGAAGGCATGGAGAGTTGGAGGGGATGGGGCAGAAGGGACACAGAGTTTGGAGAGGATGACCCGCTACAGCACATTCCTCTCCAGAACCTGGAATGAAATCTAGGATCCCCAAGGCATTCCTCTGCTGTCAAACCATGGCAAACCCACAGGCAACTTACCCCATCCCCCTCTGGCGGTGGTGCACAGAGGATGACAACCTCTCTAGCTGTTACTTAGCTCCAGTAGCAGAGGTCTGTGACAATCTAAAGTTTCCAATGCTGCTGCGGATGGATGTAGTTGCTGCTTTGCCATATGGTGGATCTTCTCTTGCTCTTTTAAACCTAAGAAATAACATACAACTTTTAAAGGAACATAAACATTATAAAAACAAACATTTCATTTTAGGCTGCCCACGCAACCTTAATTCAGTCCTTTTGTCCATATAGATTCTTTTCTTTTCATCTAGATATGTTAGAGGTATCTGGCTGCTAACATCTTGCCTCCACCTTTCCAGTCAAGGACATCCTTCCAAATGCTGGCAATTCACAATACCAGCTCCTGAGTCTTACTCATTAAAGGTAGTAAGTTTCCATTTTCTCTTTGGTTGATCAAGATGTGGAGTCCCACAAGAATGGCCTTTCCAAGAGATTCTTAGCTGGTCTGCCAAGTATCCTATAAACATATATTCTGCCCACTGATGCTGTTGGGAGTTCACTGATTTATCTGTACTTGACTAGTCCATTGTTCTTTATTGACTACAAAGTTCATCTCAATACCAAATTTTCAAAGGTTTTAGCTGTCTGCCTTCCTTAGGAGACAGGAGTTGAAGTTATGGCCTCAAGATGCAACAGAGAAAATTTAGTTTGAATTAGGAAGGACTTTCTTAGTATGAGGATAGTTAAGCATTGGAACAGACCACCTAGAGAAGCTGTGAAATCTCCATCCCTGGATATTTTCAAGAGCAGGTTAGACAGACATTTTTCTGGGATGGTTTAGTCAAGGAAGATCCTGCCTTGAGCAGGGGACTGGGATGACCTTTAGAGGGCCCTCCCAGCACTACTTTCCTATGATCCTATCCTGGTGTTGCATCCATATTAGATTGTAAGGCCTGTTTTGTGTGTGAAACTTGGTCCTTCTCCACAGTTCTTCAGAAAATTATCTGCAAAGAAAAAAGATAGGCCTTCCTACTCTGTACCTCTGCCCAAAGTTCTTCCTTTTAAGCTTCTGGGAATCAGTGTTTTAAACTGCCTATGTTATTGGTGATTATTGACCCTTTATCCAAGATCGCTTTGTTGACTCTTAACCATATATTTGATAGGGGTACACTTAGAAAGATTTTTTTTGGCCGATACCAAAGGCCGATTATTAACCAGCCATATCAGCCGATACCAATCCAATTGTTGATACGTAGCCTGGCAGCTTAGAGAACGACATCCGGCTGGTAAGTCTATGGAGGGAAGGAACACGGGGTGGGGGGAGGCAGGGAGGGCAGATCAAGGCCTCCATGGTGAGGGAGGAAGTAGGGAAGGGGTTAGGGCACAGCAGGCACTACCCAGCTGGGGTGGGGGGTGCAGGATGGAGCCAGGGGTGGCTTGTCCAGGTCACCGGGGTGGGGGGGCAGCTTCCACTGCTGCAAACACCCTGGGGGAGCCATGGGGAGCATGTGCCTCCCAGATTTGTGGGCAGGGCAAGGGCAGGCTGCCTGCTCCAGGTTTGGGGCTGGGGTTGCACCAGCCTCTTTGCAGGAGGACTGGGCTGGTGCTGCACTCAGGGCGGGTGGGGGCTGGGTGGGCAGCGGTGGCACTTACAGGGGGGGCTACAGGATGAACTACAGCTACCCCAAAATTTACCATAGCCCTTCCCTCCCAGAGCCACTGCCACCCGCCCTGTCCCCACCCACCCTGAGCACAGCCCTGTTCCAGCCAAAAAGATGCCAGCACAGCCCCTGGCCCTGAGTGGGCAGCCTGCACAAATTCAGGGAGCACATGCCCCCCATGCCTCCCCTGGGGGTGCATGTAGCAGCAGAAGCCACCTCCCTCCCACTCCCCAGACAAGCTGCACACAGTTCCATCCCACATTTCTGCACCAGCTGGCAGAGCCTACCCCTGCCCCGCTCCCTCCTGCACCATGGGGGCCTCAGTCTATGCTCGCCACACCCCTTCCCCCCACAGACTTACTGGCTGGATGCTGCTCTCCACACTGCCAGGCTGGACTCCTGGCCACATGCACGCTGCAGCTGCACACATGCATGAGGCATTTATTAGTGACATTATTGGCCACATCAGCCAAAAAAAGCTGAATGCAATAATGTTAATTTTCCTTTTATTGGTCCCAATACAATATGGACCAATATATCGGTGCACCTCTAATATTTGGTTTTTATCTTCAGTTCTGCTTTTCTTGCTAATTTCCTTCAAGCACCACCTGTATCATCTTCTTTCTCTCCCGATTACCCAACCAAATACATTTGTGATGTACTCCAGTGGCACACTGCTCTGAAGAAAGAATTTAGTTGGTATGGACCATCTAAGCTCTCCCACCAGGAGAACTTTACAATGGTAGTTCCACATTTCTCATAGCTATGAGAGAGTACCTGTTTTGCCATAATTCTGAAGCAATGTCAAATACAGCAGAGATTTTATTCCTTATTTGTACTCTGCTTATTTAAACTATTAACATTCTTGCAAATCCTAATTCTATAAGGAGTCTAGATTCTTTCACTGGGGCCCAAAGACCATCTTGCAGCATGTTATAATTTCTTAATCTTCAAGAACTAAGAAACCTGGCCATATCGTTTGTCAAATAATGCTAGTAAAATTGTACAATTTCATCCTACTTCCCCATTTCCATGAATGTCCAGGATGACCGGTGCTCATCTAACAAGCAGCAGTTCAATGTTTCTCTCTTCCTTGTTTCTCCTCATTTGTCATATTGCAGCCACACACTGCTCTGAGGAAAGAATTATCCATCTCCATCCATATCCATATCCATCTCCTTGTGGGTTTTTCTGTGGTGCTCCTCACTATGAGTATTTCAAGCATCAATATTTAATATTGGTAGGAGCCCCCTGTGCAACAGGGAAATATCCAACCATTTTCAGGTGGAGAGCTGAGGAACAGATAACAAATATGCACTAATTTTGGACGCACCATTTGAGATACCCAAGATCTTTCTAAATTCCTACTAATATATAGCACAGTTTATATTGAAAGCACAGCTCTAACTGGCATTAGCCATAGCTGAGTAGTTCAGTACTTCTCAAAATGAAACTGCAGAGAGTTTCAAAATCAGGCTTACAGAAAATGAGGAACAAGAGTGATCACTTGTGACATATTTGGTCTAAGTGACTTAAAAACTCTGTGGTAAGGAGGGAAAATGCTCTACTGCAGCATTCAACTACCTTAACCATGAAACCTCCCCTTCTCTTCCTACAACCCTAGGGGGTGAAGTTACATGTTACATTTAGTCACTTAAAATACAGGCATCCATGCATTAAAGCTCATTAACTCATGCTAAGTGCCCTTTGAGCACCTCAGAGTTATGCCACTTCAGGTGAGGGTTAATGCTGGGCCATGGTTAACGCTAGCTTGTGTTGGGGTAACTTCAGTCTATTCCACAGAGACAAAATGAGCAATTGCAGCCCTCTAGCATCCCGGTGTGCACTGCTCCCCCCAGCAGGCATAGAGTCTTGGGTCGCCCCGGTTGCCAGCCTTCTAGTAACAAGTCAGAGCTGTGCTTGGGGAAACCAGTACCAACCCTTAACATGACTGCTCACAGGAGGTTCTACATTTAACACCACTTAAGATTGAATATGGTCTAAGTGTAACCTATAACTTCACCACCCTGTGACTCAGTCACTACCCACCTTGCACCTCTAATTCTGAAGCCTGCTGGGAACGTAGAGTGGTCGTTCCAGCACACAGCCATGGACACGGGTGCTTGTACAGCGAGGCAGACCCCGGCACACGTCTTTGTAGAGCATCAAGTTACAGCTGTGGTTTCAGTTCCTCCAGAATGAAGCTCCTGGCTCCACTTCCTCCCACATTGTTATCTATATGCTCCCCATGAAGTCACAAGACCCGCTTACCATTCTTCCTGGCCCAGGGCTGGACTAACGTACAGGCAAACCAGGCACGTGCCTAGGGCCCTAAGTGAAGAAGATGCCCTAACATATTATAATTATTGAGTGAAAAAAATAAGGGCCCAGGAGTTTGTTTGCCTAGGGCCCACTAACGGGTTAATCCAGCCCCAGCTTTCCACAACAGGGAAGAAGGACAGCCCTATGGGAGGGGGCTGTTTTGTGACCACGGGGCTTCTTTCTGTTGCCTCACCTCTCTGGGAGGTATCTGCCAGCTCCTTGGACTCCTTTGAAGGAGGAATGCCAGGCTCCGTCAGGCATTCGTTCCCTGCTGGGTGCTCCCTGCTTATTCCCTACAACTTCCCTCCTGTGCCTGTTCTTTTAGTCTCCTCAAAATCATTAAGCAGTAGCTGTGTGACCTCACCCCAAGCCTAAGGCAACAGACAGGCCTGTAATTCTGGGTAAAACCTAAGCCCACATGTGCTTT